CAATTAAAGGACAATGGGCAACTTTAAAGTGAATATATTATACAAAATATTCTATTTTGAGAAGACACAAATAATATGGAATTACATAGGTCATAGGCTAAAGCTTGAATTCACGGACTGATCTTTGCAATTTGCAGCTCATTTTCATTTTAAACCTCATGTTTAATTCATTAAAATATGCAATTGGAGTCAAGTAACCCAAACATTCATTTCAACCATCTATGAATTTAAATATAAATGACTTAACCTAGATCGCAAACAACCTTACCCTCTTTTATATATTCTCTGTCTCTGTAAATGGCGGACTTTGAGGCTAATGTCATACGCTGGCATCCTTATTGCAATTTAAAGAAGGAACACCCAAATGCCATAATTGCCGTCCAGTCTTCATACAATGTATCATTTCATTCACTCCAATTATATGGATTAGCATAATGTAGCAAGTTGGCTTCTAATGGTAGTGTGACATCCAATTAAAATACAGCATATTGTTATACGTTTCTACTAAGGATTAGATGCATTTTTACAGTTTAATGGTGAAAATTGAACCTAAAAGGATGCTTGAAAAATAAATAATAGCAGTTTGCTGAATATGACAGGTGCAAAAGTATATCTCTCATTACTAGTTAGGTTAGAATTAGGTACTTATCTGTGGTATAATTTTGATCGTTTATCATTCTCGTCAAAGGGTCCTTTGTACAAGTGAATTGTGAAGAGCTTAGTTTACTGTTAAGACGGTCACAGCTGCTATCACTAAAAGCAGATGTTTTCTATGCAAAAAGAGCCTAACTAATTTCCATGGAAAAAGATGGAATTGCAAGCAACATTTTGGCACATTTTCCGAAAAATAGATGGAAGCAGTTGATGCAGGTGCAATTCCAACCTACCTAAGTGATGTTTAAATGGAAAAATAAAGAAAAATGATATTGGTGGGAGAGTTTTAAAATATATTGCTGAGAAAACAGCAGGAAATAAAGTAGCATTGCCGCTTAAAAAAACCCAACAAATATTGTAATATCTTTAACATTAGTAATTCATTAACAAGAGTAACACGTTATTTCATATTCCATAAAAATTATTTATTTTCTTTATGGAAAAAAATCAAAATATAAAATTTTAAATTCTAATTTTAAAATGTCAGCCCATTAAATCTCCTCACATCTGATTGGCTGCTTCGTCAAACCAAACTCTATCTAAACACAGTGAAAAAAAAACATTGATTGCAGCAAGCCCTATAAATGTCAAGATATATGGAAAATTGGGTTACTTGTGTTCCAGTCATTTTGGATGACATTTTTAAGGAAAGAAGTTGAGGATATTGAGGGGACTAACTTTCCTGCTTGTGAGCAGTGGGGGAGAATAAGGGGGACCAGAGATTCCCGCTATGTGAATACCCAATCCTACTATAAGGGGAAAGGGTATTAAAGGCATACACCAAGCACCAATACAAATTGGTACTGTAGTGCAAAGTATAGGATTTGGAAAATTCACAAATTTAGAACTGAATTCAGCTGGTAGGATGCACATTCTCAAATTATCACTCACTTGCTTTTTTGCTTATATCCCCCAACCCTCACCCATGGGCGGCAAGTGGGGTCTCTAAGCAATTATACAATGGGGGGAGGGGTGATCATGCCATCGTTCAGTCCCCCAAATAGTGACATGGCCCTCTCTAACTCTACTGGGTGAGTGTTTTTATGGATCCCCAAGCCCCTACCCACCCCCATTTAAAATTAAGTAACCCTACTTACTCCCCCTCACCTTATTATAGTGTGGCGGCCTATTAATACTAGTCTTCTTTTCTCCAGCCCCAAAAAGGCCAAATTAAAATCCAGAAGTCTCAGTGCAACTAAAAAAAAAGATGGCAAAAATAAAAAATGGAAATGAAAGATTGTGCTTTCATAACGGAGAAAGCCCCTGTAAAGACTTTCCAACTATATATACTATATATATATAGATATGCTATTGCATGACAGGGAAAAAAGCTAGCTAAGCAGAGTGCTCTGACAGGCAAGTTAGAGAAGTGAGACTTTCCTGCCAGAGCTCTCTGATTGGTTGACTTACAAACACTCTTACTGAAGTACAGAAACAATTCAGGCCTATTCGGTGCATGAATTACATAATCCGGACATGGTTAAATATTGTGAATATTGTGAACAATGCCCGGATTATGCAGTCTGAATATAGACTTTAGTGAATAACCCTATAAGAGTTAATAAAAAGGAAAGGTAGTTCAAGTCCAAAAATATATTGTTTGTTTGCCCTGCTCAGAACAACTTGCACTGGAAATTTTCTATTGAAAGCGTAATTTTGTACCACTAAATACAAATATTTGAAATCATATTTCTTTTTTGTTCAAATGTCTTCAAGATGATCTCCATTACTGCCTCCCCTCCGATGTCTGAATAAATTTGTTCTGCAGCAATCATGTCCAATTTAGTCTTAATAATTTCTTTAACATCTTGTGATGATGTGCTAATTATACATTAGAAGGGGAGCTGAGCGCAGCATTTAGGTTTTGTGGTTTGGTTGAATCTGTCAGAGCTTGGCATTACCTAGTTAAATAAAAAATGTTTTAGACTCTTGATGATTGCATCATTTTTATGAATGAATATCTGGATTAAAAGGACACCCTGGGCTGGAACTGACTCCCATAGAGATGCTGCATTAAAACATGTAAATTACAATAAACTTTTAAAATTTAAATAATCCTTTCTTAGTATATTCTTTGTTGCTGCCATTGCCCAGGGTGTGCAGAAACCAAGAAATGGTTGACTTTCTAATTCAATCATGGCCCCTTCAAGTTCCAATACTGTTTTTACCGGGAACAGTAAACATATCCCATAAATTCTTACAAATTAGGGGTCTACATAGCACAGTACAAATGTCTTTCCACATTAATAGCAATCACCCGACCTTTTTATTGAACTCTATGAGAGACTTTGTACAAGTTACTTGGAATTCTGTGTAATACACACATATGTACTAATCTGTATATACTAGGCTTCAACTATGAAGTCACAGAACTGGTATACAGCCGCAGAGATTAAAACAAATCAGGATTTACATGAAGGAAACAGAAATGTGTGTCTGTGGTGGTGTATGTGTCTGTGCATGTAAGTTAGTGTATGTATATGTATGTATATATGTAATTCCTGAGCCCCCCCATACTAGCATTCAAACAACTGCCTAACCTGAAACAGAGATTGGTCCGCAGCAAATTGACCACAGAACAGGAGCTCACACAGAATGGCACTGTACGATGCAACAAATCACTCTGCAAACTGTGTCAACATATATGTGGCAATAACACAGCCAGACACAATAGCAAATCACACAACATTAAAGGACCACTCTAGGCACCCAGACCACTTCAGCTTAATGAAGTGGTCTGGGTGCCAGGTCCCTCTAGGATTTACCCAGTTTTTTTTATAAACATAGCAGTTTCAGAGAAACTGCTATGTTTATAATAGGGTTAATCCAGCCTCTAAAGCCTCTAGTGGCTGTCTCATTGACAGCCGCTAGAGGCGCTTGTGTGATTCTCACTGTGAAAATCACAGTGAGAACATCAAGCATCCATAGGAAAGCATTATGAATGGGAGGAGAGGTGGAGGATCGGAGGAGGAGAGCTCCTCGCCCGGCACTGGAAAAAAGGTAAGTTTTACCCCTTTTCTCTCCCCAGAGCCGGGCGGGAGTGGGACCCTGAGGGTGGGGGCACCCTCAGGGCACTATAGTGCCAGGAAAACAAGTATGTTTTCCTGGCACTATAGTGGTCCTTTAAGGGATCATATTCGTGCACATCTGTGAATGTGGTGTACATGATACAGTGTACAATGTGTGACAAAGATTGCTACATTGGAGAAACTGGCCTTAAGCTGCATCTCAGAATGAATCTACACAGACACTCAATCAAGAACCACAAGGAAAATGGATATTGTACTCCTGTTGTACCCCTGTTGGTCATCACTTCACCCAGACTGGTCATTCCATCCAAAACCTCAAGCTTAGCGTTTTTAAAGGAAATTTCAAAGACTCTCTCATAAACTAAAGACATTTCAACACCAGAAATGAAAGACTTAATGTAGATTCTGGCTTTCTCACACACTATCAAAATTTAATGTCTTATATAGTACTTTTTCAATATTCTTGCTTCACCTATTGGATCAATTTCTATACATATATATATATATGCAGCTATATACTTGCATGCCCTGCTTTACTGGTGTTTTTTTGTTGTTGTATTTTTTTATTTTTAACTAGCTTATTGACTCTCCTCCTGTGTATTTACTTTTCTGGCCATTCTCAGCCAAGTTGCACCATTCACTTTCAGACACATCTTCTGCTATTTATGACACCCCACTCACCTCCCCCCTCCCTCCCCTTCTCTAACATCAGTTGTTTTAAGTGTTAAACTCTATCAGATTGATCAGTATTGCTACAGACCTGAGGAAGAGAGGAAAACTCTTGAAAGCTTGTCTTTATTATTATTATTACTGGTATTTATATAGTGCCAGCATAGTCTGTAGTGCTTTACAATATTATCAAAGGGGGAGATTTAACAATAAATGAGACAATTACAAAAACTTACAGGAACAATAGGTTGAATAGGGCCCTGCTCAAACAAGCTTACAGTATTTAGGAGGTGGGGCGTAAAACACAACAGGACAGGAAAAACAAGGTGGAGGGAAGCAGAGCTGGAGGGGAGAATAGAGTACTGCCCTTTAGGAGAGAGCAAGGGACAGGTATGTGAGGTAGAGGTTACTCTGGGAGGCCATAATCTTTCCTAAAGAGATGGGTTTTGAGGCACTCTTTAAAAGATTGAAGACTAAGGAGCTTGATGGTCATAGGCAGGCTATTCTAAATGAAAGGAACCACCCGCGAGAAGTCCTGTAAGCGCGAGTTGGCCGTACGGGTGTGAGCAGCGGACAGGAGAAGGTCATGGGAAGAGTGGAGAGGCCGAGAAGGGGCATACCTGCCAATCAGTGAAGAGATATAGGAGGGTCTGGAATTTGTCAGTGCTTTATAGGTGTGGATTAGTACCTTGAATTGACTCCTATAGTACACTGGAAGCCAATGTAAGGACTGACAGCATTCATTACAGACTGTAGCGGGGCAATACGACTTGTGGGAAGACCTATCAGAACAGAGTTACAATAATCCATGCAAGAGATTACTAGTGTGACGGACCGCCTGGCACCCCGACCAGGTGCCTCCGTCAGTCGATGCTCCTAGTGCTCACCGAGGACCTCCACCCACCCTAGACCCAAGACCAGGATCCAGCTTCCAGTGGGTGAACCTCTCCTACTTCAGAGAGCGTAGCAGGAAAAGCTCTTAAAAGAGCTAGTGATTACAATTCCAGGGGAGTATAGTACGCTCACATGGACCTTGTTGGGGACTGCAACACAAAGTCAAAGGCCAATCATAACAGTTGTTAAATGCATGACACTCCCATATACAAACACACAATCCCTCCCCTCTGCCTTGGAGATAGTTGGATCAGGAACTGTACTAATCTAATCCAATTATCTCCAAGCACAGAAAAAAACACACATTTTTACAAACACCCCAAAAGTACCTTAAAACAAGTTACAAGTTACATGCCCCGATAGCCCTGATCTGGGTTACCAACATATCCAAAAATCACCCAGATCAGTTCAGGGGTTTAGGAATTTCCTGTAAGTCTTTTTTTTGACCGACTGTGCACATTGTCCTATGCCCAGGGAATCAGGGTTAACGGTCGGTCTCTCTGTCTGAAGTACAAAAGCACATGCCTCACATGAACAGAGCTTTTTCAAGTGCATTGGGCAAGGTATATTGCAGGGCCCATAGTCCTGAGGCAAGAGGCTGGCCAGCAGGCCCCTCCAAGAACCAGTGGTGAGGTCACTTTCGCCACAACTAGAGCATGGACAAGCTCCTTAGTAGCATCTTGCGTAAGAAAGGGGTGGATGTGGGTTATGTTTTTAAGGTCTATAGGATTCGGTAACAGACTGGATGTGAGGCTCAAATGTGAGGCCAGAATCAAGTATAACGCCAAGAAAGCCTGCTTGCAAGGATGGACTTATGTGGGTACCACTAACTTGAAGGGAGAGCGAAAAAGAAGGAAAGATAAGGAATTCAGTTTTAGAGAGATTGAGTTTCAAAAATCGGGAGGACATCCAGTCAGTGATGGAAGAAAGGCAAGCAGTGACATGTTGCAGGATGACAGGGGAGAGGTCCATGGAGGAGAGTCATCAGCAAACAGGTGGTATTGGAATCCAAATGAGGATATAAGTTTGTCATGAGAGGCAGTATAAAGAGAAAATAGAAGTTGACCAAGTACAGGGCCTTGGGGGACTCCAACAGAGACAGGATGAACGGAGGAGGTATCATTAGAAATGGAGACACTGAATGCGTGTTGAGAGAGATAGGAGGAAAACCGACAGAGGACAGTGTCACAGAGACTGAGTGATTGAAGAGTTTGGAGAAGGAGAACATGGTCAACAGTGTCAAAGGCAGAAGAGAGGTGAAGAAGAATTAGTATGGAGTAGTGCCTTTTGGGTTTAGCGGTAGATTTAATAAGTTAGTGACTTTAATAAGAGCAGTCTCAGTAGAGTGGAGGGTCAAAAGCCAGACTGAAGTGGGTCAAGGAGAGAGTTGGAATTGAGGAAACAAGTCAGACGGTTAAAGACAAGTCTTTCCAAAAGCTTTGAGGAAAAAGGGAGCAGGGACATGGGACAATAGTTAGAAGGGGAGGAATGGTCAAGAGATGTTTTTTTTTTAAGATGGGCAAAACAGTAGCATGTTTAAGGGCAACAAGGACAACACCAGAAGAAAGAGAGAGCAGTTGTAGATGTGTTTTAAGGAAGACACAAGACAAGAGGAGAGAGATCTGATAAGGTGAGACGGGACAGGATCAAGCAGGCAAATGATGGGGCGAGAAGAAATGAGAAGTGCAGCCAAATCTTTTTCAGTAGCCTGGGAGAAAGTCTGAAGGGTAGGAAAGGCATGATCCAGGTGTGGTTGAGAAAGAGAGGGGCAAGGCAGTTAGAATTCTTTCCTTAGCTGTTCAATCAAAAAGAAGGGAGTTAAAGGTAATAAAAAGATGCCTGGGATTGCGGGAGCATGAGCTAATGAGTGAGGAAAAGTATGACTTTTTGGCAAGGGCTTTGCTGTATGAACGCAACATAAATTTGTAGTGGAGGAAGTCTGACTGGGTGAGTGGCTTCCTCCAGCAGTGTTCAGCAGAACGGGAGCATCTCTACAGGTAGCGTGTTAATTTAGTGTGCCACGGTTGGGGGCGTCTTATCCTCAAGGTGCATGATTGGAGCGGGGCTGCAGTGTCCAGGGCAGAAGTGAGGGTAATGTTATATGAGGAAATAGCCAGTGAGGGACAGTGAGGGATGGATAGAAGTTGGGAATCAATATTAGCTGATAGCTGCTGGAGGTCAACATAATTCAGATTTCTTCTTAGTTGAGGGGGAGTTAGATTGAGGATGATGTGGTAGTGGGCTATTGAGAGCAAATGTTAAGAGGTGGTGTGATGAACTACACTTCACCACTGACTTTTGGAGAGACTTGCTTGCTAGCCTCTTGCCCTGTGACTATGGCCCCTGTGGTGTATTGCCATTTCAAAAGTATATTTGGGCTTATTGGATTTTAAAACACTTTTTCTGCCCCTTTAAATCCATGGGAAAATGTGCCTCTTCCCCTCCCCCTTTTTCCTGTCCTATTGTTTCTCCAGCAGGGCGTTGTCCCAGGGACACAGCTAGACCAGTTTAAACTGGCTGCCTTGTCCCTCCTCAATCTCCTATCAGCTTTGCTGACCACACCCTTCCTTGTACTATAGGGAAATTTTAGCATTGGACATATTGAGCGCTCAGATCCAAGCTATCTGGGGACCATACCCTTCCTTGTACTATAGGGAAATTTTAGCATTGGACATATTGAGCGCTCAGATCCAAGCTATCTTGGGACATGTTGGACATATAGGGTAAACCTTGTATTAAAAGAGTTATGTATCTTTATGTGGTTTTTGTGACAGTTTTTGACTTAGAGATATTTCCTGTTACTGGAGATAATTAAGTTACCACAGCCACTTAAGCCAATTATCTCCAGGATAGAGGAGAAGATAGACCAGCCGCACAGCCTAAATCTGTGGAACTGTTTTGGGCATGAAAGCCATGCTTGCGGTTGGTCAAATGGGACTTCCATAAAACTTTTGAGCCCCTGCTCTGATCTGGGTGATTTTGGGATATATTGTTCATCCAGATCAGGACTATCCATGGATGTAGTATTTGTGGGGATATGTTGTTGTTTTGGGGTGTTTCTGGACTTTGTGTAAAACTGGATATTTTCTGACTGTGGTAATTGAGTTAGTCCATTGTGTTTGGTAATTGTATCACAGGCTATCAGAGGGGAGGGCTTGTGTACATTAGCTGGGAGTGTCTAACAATACTGTGTTGATTGGCTGTTGTGACTTTGTGTCCTGTGCTCCACAAGGTCCACGTGGGTGGTAACCTTGTGGGAAAAACTGTATCTAAGAAATGCCTTTGTGCTCATTAAACCAGTTCTACTTCACCTTCAACTTGCAGCCTCGTCTCGTGTATGGGGGTGGAACAGCTATAATCACTACAGGGATTGCAATGCTCTTCATACTCCCTTAGCTTCCCTACTAGCTCTTGTAAGAGCTCTCTCTCTTCAGCTATACAGCTATACGCTCCTGGAAGAGAGACCCAGCTATACTCTCTTGGAGGAGAGACCCAGCTATACTCTCTTGGAGGAGAGGTCCTTCCCACACGCTCCTGGATCCAGAGTTTGGAGTCCCAGGGTGGGAAGGAGACAGCGAGATCCCAACCAAGCTATGGCGGTTCGTGGATTCTGCGATGCTTATGGTGTCTGGTGCGGTGCTGATGGTCCTTGAGAAGCGCTAGGAGCATCCCTCGGTGGAGTTATCCGTTACATGTGGTAATCTGAGAGAGGAAATGGAGTGTTGCAGAGATTAGAGATTGTACATTCATTAGAGAAAATGAGATCAAGGGTATTGCCAGCAACATGGGTGGTGGACTTAGTTCACTGTGATAGCCCAAGGGAGGAGGTAATTGAAAGTAGTTTTAAGGCTACTGAGGACAAGGGTAGGTTAATGAGAATATTGAAGTCCCCAAGAATAAGGGATGGAATATTAGAGGAGAGGAAGAAGGGAAGCCGAGCAGCAAGGTGGTCAAGGAAGAAGAGAGGGGAACCAGGGGGATGATAGATAAAGGCAATGATGGGTTTGAAAAAGAAAAGCCATCCAAAAGAGCTACCTCTACATAAGGCTGTAGCTTGTCTTGGTAGCTGTGAGTCCTGGGAGCTAGTAAATGTTCTGTTTGGGACCCAGGCTGCAAGAAAGAATCTGGGTTAGATCAAACAGCAAATTAAGGGTGGGGAAGACACAGATATTAAGGTGAGAAATGGCAGTTAATGAGGAAAAGAAAATAAAGAACAGAGGAGAAAGTATTTGAGATTTAAAGATATAAACTTAGGTCATAAATGGTGAACATAAATTAACATGAATATCAACACAATAACTCTAAACTAACAAAAATAGGGGTAGGTCATAAATGGTGGACATAAATTAACAAGAGTATTAGCACAATACTAACAAAATAAACAATGATCAAAACAAGGGTTGAGCATGGAAGGTACAAAGTTAACAATTAAGCAGTAATATTGTAGGGGAGAGAAGTAAAAAGAGAAACTAAAAAATAGAAGAATAAAATATTGGATGCTTACGAATGTCTGAAGTTCGAATTGGCAAATTGCTGAATTGCCAAATTTCTGAAGTGCCACATTTCCGAAGAGCCGAACCGAATTACCAAAGTTCTGAATTGCCAAAATGCTCTGGATTTCTGAAAAGTGGCAAAACAAGTGGTTAGGGTTAAGAGTTAGGGTTTAGGGTTAGGATTAGGGTTAGGTGCTAGAGCTTATGATTTAGGATTAGGATTTAGGGCTAGGGGTTAGCATTAGGGGTTAGGGTTTAGGGCCAGGGGTAAGGGTTAAGGTTAAGGGTCAGGATTAGGGTCCGAATTGCCGAAGTTCCGAATTGCCGAAGTGCCGAACTGAACCAAATGCCATTGATCCGAATTGCCGAAGCAGACACATTTTTTTACTTACCCGAATTTCTGAACCAAACCAATTTTTTTGCCCATGCACATCCCTACTTTTAAATATTATGTTAGTCCAACAAAAAAGGTT